AATATTCTTCACTCTGGTAATGAATCCATACCCACAGTGAAAAGGAAACAGGACAGAATTTTGAAATTCTTCCTGCCTTTGTCCAGAACTCAAATTCTGTGGGTGGTAGGTGACAAGGCTCACCTGTGCTGACTGGGCTGTGATTCCTATGAAAGCAAGGGTCTCCTGCAACTAGACCAACAGTGGAAGCGACCTCCCTGAGTGTGAAACGCTGACGATGCGACCCCATTTTGGGGAGGGTCGGCAAGCAAGAAGAAGACTGACATTGGGAGGGAGAAGACAGTTATCGTATTCCCGTCTATCATCCGGGCCCCAGCAATAGCCTAAAATCACAGGTGACAAAACTCAGCCGATGAAGTAGGCACTGTGACAAAGCGCCGTGGGGAAGCAGAACTGAGGTCAGTTCAAGTTCCTGAGATTCTGGTCCCTTAGGAAATCGTGGTTCGTTTTCCACAGCGGACACAGGAAGAATGGACGATGCAGCCTTCTCAGTATGAAGGAAGATCCAAAACGAGACGCAATAAAGGGGGCCCAAGGGCAAACGTGCCTCCTCTGGAAAGCACAGGAAGGATCAGAGGCCAGGGGTCAGAGGTCGCCTTCAACACAAGCCACACGCTGCGGGCAGGCAACTGGAGAATCAAAGAGGAAAGGAAAAGCAGTGACCTCAAAGCAGCTCACGGTATTTGATGAAACTGCTCTCATCTCCACTGGTTCAAAGTGTTTTCTCCACTTCTGGTAGTCTGTATTTTGTGACAAGTACCTACTTTTTCCTGGAAATCAATGTTGTTTATTCTATTCTAGCATGGTGTTTCTACGTCTTTTTAACCAATCCTTCCTTTCAAATAGGTATCTGCCTTTCACCACCTCACTTCATGTCACTTAGAATATCGAAATAAATGAGATATCATATCTCTATATGCATATAACATGTGACTCCAGATGCCCCCAGACATAAAATCTAACCTTTTATTTCTAGACCCCATGGTGTCTAGGAGAATGCTAGCTATAAAACAGAGGCTCAATAAATACTAGTGATTGAGGACATTGCAAAGAGAGAAAAAAGACCTTTGATTCTAGGTTGTTAAGCTGCTGTACATATAGCAAAAACCCAAGTGAAAGGCAACCTTTGCCTTTAAAGATACTGTAAGGGACTTCTGAATCTCAGGAAGGGTAGCTGCAGAGATGTCATCATGAGGCAAATTGGAGGCTTAGGTGCTGGGCTTGGGGAATTTTTAGGATGAAAAGTGCAAGAGAAAGTAAGAAAGCCACAAAGCTGAAATAACGGAATCTTATTTAATACTGTTTTTCTACTACAGAGGATCGGAATGGCACAAAACCTGCAATACCTAAAGAACACCTAGAAAGAGGAAAGCTAGAAAGTGGCTGGTTCCTGTGAGGAAAAAATTTAGGAATGCCCAGGAAATTCCAAATGTGCCCCGCTCTGAAAGGCCCAAGGAGAAACCAGCAAGACCATGCCAACAAGGTAAGGAAATCAACTGCATGTTAGGCATTTCAAAAAAACCAAAGTTTGCCTTCAAACACTGACTCCCCAAAATGTAATATTGCAAGGGGGGAGTAAAGAAAGAGTATCTTCTACGAGTTGGCAATGGCCTTCCAGGCCATTAAATTGAAGGTACACTGTGTAATTTCTGTGTTGTGGGTTCTAAAGCTCACCGCAAGTAGCTTAATGTTTAAGTCGGGCACATTTCTATGACACTGAGCAGATTTTTCCTGAAGCCCCTCATGAAGCAGAGCCTTATTACAGAGCCTCTCTCTGTAATAAGACATCATCCAAACAGGGACACTTTTGAGAGTAAAAGGGGACAGTATATTAATAATTATTCTGGGCCAAAAGGCACCGACTGGCTCAGTCCCTAGCAGGTCAGAAGGTAGGATACCCTAGCAAGCACCATGCAAACCAATGATGAATATTCTCATTTAATAACACCAAGCACATGGTACAATGCCCAGGTAGGCCTCTGGCATCCTGGTGGCTAGAGAGACAATCTGGGAAAAACTTAAGTGTGAAGAAGCAGCTGCAGGCTGGGATGAATTGGAGATGAGATATGGCTTAAAGCCAAAAAATTCATGATGTGGCACACCAGGTCCTTCCAGACCACCTCTCCAATTCACCTTCCATCCATCATTCCTACCCCTGATATCAGCTTGTTGCCTTAGGCCCATCTGGGTTATCTGGTGTAGTTGTCCATGCAAATGGCCTCCTGTGTTTTGTCTGCTTCATTTTTAACTCAATTTTTATTACCTCATTTTTACCTGAATTAAATATTTAGCATTCTGAACATCGGTGTCGAGAAACACGTATTCCCATCAGAGCTTCTATAACAGCTGGGGAATGAGATTTTATACGAAGCCTGAGTAGGAGTCAATTTTACTACCTTGATTCCTTTTTTCCTAAATAATCTACCCGCCCCCCCAGCATCACTTCCCCAAGGGAGCCCTTCGCTTCATGTCTTTATTGGGCTCCTACTTCACCCTGCACTTCTCCACTCAAGGCCCCTTCCACTTATATTTTACTCCTAATACTCATCTTTGCCTAGTTTGTTCAATGTTCTTTTCCAAATTAGGCCTGGCACAGTTAATTCTGATCAAATATTTGTTGACTGAACAAATTACATGGGAAAGCAAAATGATCTTTTTGCTGGCTAAGTTTCCAAGGTAAAAATTCCAGGTCATGAACTGACTATTTAAAGCTGGAAAAATTTAAAAGACAAGAATAAGGCCCTTTACTAAATATTTTTTCTGAATGAGCCTCTCATTTCAAGTACAGTGGTTGCTAGTAACCCCAAGCCATTAATGGGCAGAAACAGAGACCGCTGTAGAGGCCTGCCTCAAGGTGACATTGGCCTCTAGTGGATAGAATTGAGAATACAGCAGGTCCAAGTAAAAGATGTCCCAGGGCAAACCAATTACAGAAGGAAATGAGAAACCCAAAGTTTCTTTTGTTTTTCACTTCTGTCATGTCAGCTGATTTCTTCTCCCATTAAGAGAACAGCCTACTGTCATATTTTTACCTCAATTAAATATTTAGCATTCTGAACACTGGTGTTGAGAAACACTTATTCCCATCAGAGCTTCCATGACGGCTGGAGAATGAGATTTTTATACGAAGCCTGAATAGAAGTCAACTTCACGACCTTGATTCTTTTTTCCTAAATAATCTTCTTCAGTTTCCTGGTGATTTTCTCGGGATTGAAGGCTACCAGACACCCCTGAGAGACAGCTGCATTTTAAATCACCTGCTAATCAAAGGGTAAATATCTACGTGACAAGGAAACACGGTGACCCAAGAAGGGATGCATAAAAGTGAGGACAGGGTGCAAATACAAGGTACGAACATGTAAACTATTTTGCCTTACAAACAAATCAGATGGTGCGGCGTTGTGCAACACTGTTACTTTTTTCTCCTTAGCACACAACCTAATCCGGGAACGTGCGCTTTGTGTACACTCCGTTCTGGTGACACGCTCCTAGTTGTTCCTGCTTCACTTAACAACAGCTTGTCATCACTTTTGAGTGTCCAGGGTTTTGTTGTTGTTTTTAAGATTTTATTTATTTATTTGATAGAGAGAGAAAGAGAGATCACAAGCAGGGGTGGGAGGCGTAGAGGAAGAAGCAGACTCCCTGCTGATCAGGGAGCCCCGATGTGGGGCTCGGTCCCCAGCCGAAGGCAGACATTTCACCGACTGAGCCCCCAGGTGCCCTGAATCTCCAGGTTTTAAGAACAATACAGCACACTCGCTTTACTCACATCGTTATCACATCTTTAAATATCTCTTCTCTATTACATGCATGCAGGCTGTTGCTCAGGAAAGAAAAATCTCTCAAACCAAATAATTGCTCAGTAGAAAGTGAGCTCAGAGAGGAAAGGGGGTGGTACAGAGGGTGGTCCCTCAGCAGGCGGAGGGACAGGGGACACGGTGAGAGCAGCTGCAGTCTCTCCCCACAGAACACAGTGCTGTGTGTTCTCAGCACTGAGGCTGGGAGGGAAGGAGGCCGAATTCTTTGATCAGACACATCCAAACTTAAACGTACAAACAAATCCATGCTCCCCAGTGAAGCCGGTGATCTCGGATATTGGCCCCTTGATTCTCCTCTTTTTTTCCCTTTTATTATTATTTTTAAAGATTTTATTTATTTATTTGACAGAGAGACACAGCGAGAGAGGGGACACAAGCAGGGGGAGCGGGAGAGGGAGAAGCAGGCTTCCTGCCGAGCAGGGACCCCAATGCGGGGCTCAATCCCAGGACCCTGGGATCATGACCTGAGCCAAAGGCAGATGCTTAACCGACTGAGCCTCCCAGGCGCCCCTTTCCTTTTTTTTTTTTTTTAAGATTTTATTTATTTATTCATGAGAGACAGAGAGAGAGAGAGGCAGAGGAAGAAGCAGGCTTCCCGCAGAGCAGGGAGCCCGATGTGGGGCTCGATCCCAGGACCTGGGATCATGATCTGAGCCGAAGGCAGACGCTTAACCATCTGAGCCACCCAGGCGCCCCCCCCTTTCCTTTTTTTAAAGCACCGAGAACCACCTGACCATCACGGTAAAATCAGATTTGTATAGGAAAGGTACTTCCCAGCACCTGACTAAAGCGCTGTTTCCCCCAAACACCTAGAATCCACACACATGTGTAACACTGATGGCAAGTACGCTCGCATTTCAATTAAGTGGAATTTACCAGCTGCCACCAATAAGTCTGCAGAAAGACAAGCAGTAATGCCTACTTTTAAAAAGTCTGTCACCTCGTACACTTGTCCCTCCCTTTCATCTTCTTAATTTTTGCCAGCACGCCATGCCAGGAGTTCTTTCTACCACCCTCTATTGAGAATGGAGGCCCTCTAATCCGAGGGAGAAGACCGAGCGGAGCCACACAACCAGAGGCCGGGTCAGAGACGCACCCTTCCAGGGAACCTTCTAAACAGCACGGATTCGGCTCAAGCGGCCGCCTCCACGCCAGGCCCCCAGACCCTTCCGCCATACCTACCATTTCCTTGAACGCACTTTCCAGAGCCCCAATGACCAGGCACTCGTGCGGAATCTTCTTCTCGGTAAAGAAGCGCGTGGGTGGGGTGCTGGGGGAGCCCGGTGCCCCCACGCCTCCGCGGAGCGAGGCGGCGCGGGTCAGAGTCCGGCTGTTCGCGGGTGTGTTCTCAGGCTCCTCGCCCAGGCAGGTCGGCGGCAGGACGGCAGAGTTCTTGAGAATCTCCACGATGTCCTGCAGCTGCTCCGTGACGTGGTGCTGCAGCAGGCGGGAGGCCACCACGGCGGCCCCGGACCCTGCGTGACCGTCAAACAGCGACCAGTAGTGACAGGAAACTCCTTCTGATTCCTGGGGGAGGGAGGCGACAGGGGGTGAGAACCTCAGTGGTCAGTGCCCCAGGGTCACACTGACCCAGCGAGGCAGGGCACTCAGCGCAGCCACTGGGTGATCTGTCTCTGTTTGGCCAGCAGTGGGGGGGAGGGGGTCAAAACATGGCAAAAAGGCCCAGGGATTTGTCACTGCTGGGACCACCGCCCGAGGGATGGAACAGTCCTTGCCTCTCTGCCTGGGGGGAGAGGGCCAAATTACCATGCAAGCTCAGTTGACTACTTTGTGGCAAGATCCACCTTGATTTGATGTATAGATGTTTGAAGTAGAACTCCATGCCAACAGGTAAGTCTTTAGGAGTCCAGCTTTCACCCCTAACTCCTCACTTCCCTCTGCAACCCCAGAGCAGGCTTGGCCTGGAGTCTTTGGAGGAAGTCAAGCTCTTTTTGCAGATTCTTCAAGGGGGAAATAAGTAGACCCATTTTTCCCCTTGAGAGCCTTTTCACTCTCAAATAACTGACCTATCCTCTTTGGTCTACATCCTGTATTTTTAGAACATGTTTTCCCCTTAGACACCCAGTCTAAGATGCAGCCAGTTCAAACCTCCTCCTCCTTTTTCCTGCCTGCCTCAGTTTCCCAGCTGGTACTCAGCATCTTTGTTTCCTCTTCCTACTCTAAAGCTTCCTACCCTAAAACACGTTCCCATGTTCCCTCATCTACTGTGGATTTCGTCTCGCAGTTATTTCTAGACTATTTCAAATGAAAATCATGTTTGAATTACACATGCCTAAGATTTTAGCTATAGAAAAAAAGAGCTTAAATTAAACGCATTAATTTATTAAATAGGTAAGATGCATAGGTAATTAAACAGGGTGCATATAACATCCACTCCTGACTACTAGGCGTATCTACCCCACAGCAATAAATACTGAATCCTTTTCTAGCTAAACCCATTAAATAAAGTTCTTTTGGTCTATCTTAGAATGATGCTGGAAGATACTGTATAGTTATGGTGACATATGCCATTACTCCATTTGTGCCCTTTAAATTTCACTTCCATTCAATTCTGTGCCACGTGCTGAGAAAATAGTTGATTTTTAGTCAATAAATACTGAACATTCCCTATGTGACAGGTGCAAAATGGACACTGGGGATAAAAAATGGCTGGAAGAGAGATCAGATATGGTCTGATCTTAATAATCCAGTGGGGAAGACACATACTGATCAAATAATCACACAAATATAAGCTCACAATTCTGGTCATGGCTATAAGGAGAGGTTCTTAGTTCTTGGTGCTACGCGGCTAGCTTGCAGACGGGCACATGGAGGAGGTTTCCTGGGGACGTGCAGGGTAGCCTAAGAGCTGTTTGGAAGTTCACAAAATGATGAGGGGAAAGGAGAGACCACCAGGCAGTAGAGACAGCAGGTGCTAAGGCCCTGTGGTTGGAAGGTGCATGATGCATGAGAGGAGACTGAACCATACCATGTGACTGAATAGAGGAGTGAAGCAGGAAAGAAGTGGTGGGGAGAGATGATGCCATAAAGGGACGTGGCAGCCAGACCACTCGGTCCTTCCAGGACACACGAAGGATCTTGGCTTTAGCCTAAGAGTAACAAAAAGCCATTGACTGAGGTGGGGGTGACAAACTTATGTTTTTAAACGATCCCTCAGGCTACGCCATGAGGATTAGGAAAGAGAGAAAGTGGGGATGCCAGCCAGGAGGTGAATAACACCCTAAAAAGACATTCAAATTCAGGCAGTAACAAACACTTATGAATGACTAAATGCACTCTAACTCAGGACAGTAGAAAGAACAAGGACTTCAGAATTAGAAGATCTGAGTTCTAATGGCATCTTCAGTACCAATCAGCAGGAGTGGGAAGCAGAGCAAGGTCAGGAAGGCCACACAGGCGTCAGACCCTGGCTGGGTCACTCCAGAGCCAGACATCCTGTTGCTTAACTGGACCATGTTTGCCTAGTAAGTAAGCGTCAGGCGATAGCTAGCTCACAGGAGTTAACCGTTAGCAAGGTTAAATGGTGACTTAGGCCAATGGAGTAGCTAAGTAATATATCTCCCTCATGTGTAACTGCTATCACTACCATTACAATATGATTTTGGAGAAGTCATTTTCTGAGCTTCAGTTCTTCACCAATGCGAGGAGCTACCGTAGACGAGGCCACAAGAAGAATTGGGAATGAGAGCTGATAGGGCAGCCGGTGGAGGAAAATACCAGGAGGCTTCGGTTGTGTGGCTGATTGTGGTACATGCTTACCTGGTATCCACTCTTTTGGGTGGAACTTCCAGGAAAGCTATTGTTTTCCTGATAAAAGGGACAACTCAAGTGGCCTGGCCTTTGCCCTTTACCCTTCCCGCTTCCTTCCTGCCTGGGTCACAGAATCAACACCTGGAGGTCGAGTAACCCTCCTGCAAAACTGGCTGAAAGCTGTAGTTCAAGGTAGTGGGACGGGAAGTCTCAAGGACCACCGGGCCCTCGGTGTCTTGCTTGGGATGCAGCATGGGCCCTCAACAGCCTGCCTTCTGGGCTCCCTGTCACGTGGGCTTCATGACATTTTGATAAGCCACTGTTGCTAGCTTCTTTAACAAGAGCTAGGGACAAGGAGATGAAAGGAGGTGTATGTTTATCTAGTATTCTGGGACTTGGGGCATGCGTGGCGGGAAGGAGGAGTGTGAGATAAGGAACGCAAGAGCACACAAAAAAAGAATGAAAAGTAGGTAGAAATGGCCATCAACCAGGAATAAAACTGAACCCCCTGGAAAATGTTCTTAATGTAGAGCATCTGTGGATAGAATTCAGTGAATCTATATTTTCACCAACCTCTGAAACTTAGCATTTCCTCTTATTATGAATGCAAGGCAACAAAGCACAGTGGGATTAGCAGTTCCTATGACTTGGGTCACCAACAGAAATAATGACTGTCATTCTACACAGCCTGAATTATTGTTTACGCTCATCATTACTTTGCAATGGTCGGAGTTATTGAACTCACCACTAGCTCTTGTTACTTGCTGCATTAGTAAAGTACATATTCCCATATTACATCCTCACAACTAGGGAAAAGCTGCAAAAGAAAGGGATTTTTTGCTTATTACATCTAATTGCCCAAAGGTCCCAAGGCTGCCTGAGTAAAACCTGCACACACAGTCCTTGTGCACCCAATTTAAATGAAAACCCAGCAAACACTGTTAAGGAAGCTGTGGGCAGGGCCAGTGAGGGATGAAATAGGAGCAACTGTGTCCGTGTCTGGGCACAGATTCTGTTACACCCAACGTATCATGTTTCAGGAATCATGATTTGAATCAAAGATCAAACCCCGTGAAATAACGAGGCACACTGCAATGCAATGCTACTACATTTTTTAAAAAGCAACTCTGACATTTTTCTGACAAGCAATTCAACCATTTCCTTCAACAAGGCAAAGCATTCTGAAGGCACTGCAACAACAACCAGCTGACAAAATATCTGGGCAAAATACAAAATATCTGAGCCGTCAGGAGACAACCTGACTGGGGGACTTCTGAAGCAGGGACCAAACACCCTGCTTCCGGGAACACCTTTGCACAGCAGGGCTAGAAACTCTGCTACAGCTAACTTTCAAAATGCAATTAATCATTTTCACAACTAAAACTTGTAAGACATAGTTTTTCCACGAAGAAAGTTTGTGTCTTACTAAAGACTAAATAAATCCAGCACTGTTTAATGCAGGGTTCACTCCCAGCCCAATTAAGTCAGTCAGTCTGAAGGTGGGGCCCTACCACTGAGCTTTTTTTAAAGCTCCCCAGGGGATCCTAAGAGCTGCCCAAATTAAGAACCCCTGGTCTAATAGAAAGGGGGCCACTAAGCAGTTCCAGAAACTCTCATCCTAGTCTCAGATCTGCCATCGGTTGTGTGACCCTGGATGAGTCACTTACATCTCCCTGAACTGACCAGAACAGCAGTGTCCAAACTGTTTCTTGTTTCCAAAGTGGTACCTTAGGAAAGAGGAAGTGGGTGTTTAAAGGATAAATAAGTCCCGTTGACTATTATTCCAGCCAGAGCAGCACAGATGTGTCAGTTATAAACATCAGGGGTTTGCAAAAGATTTTGGACAAAAGGATTCAACTGTTCATAACAATTTTTGAAAGCTTTTGAACTAGGTAAAACCAAATTCATCAAGAGACTTTAAAATCTTCAGTGTCCTTCTATGGCAGGGAACTTAAAGTGAGGGATGTATTATTTGGGAAACTACAACCACAAAGGGGGCCCTCTCCACATGCTTTAGATGCCAACTCAGCTCTTAAAGCCTACGAGACCATCAGGTAACAGAAACGTCGAGTTACGGGGCTACAGCACCCTTCCAGTCATTTAATAAACCTTACATAGCAGGCAATATTCTAAATGCTTTATAAATATTAGCTCATTTAATCCTACCACAATCCATCCTGGGAAGAGTCACCCTATGACATGTGGTTATCATTCCCATTTTATAGAGGAGGAAGAGGAACAGAGAGTCTAACTGTTTAAGGGTACCACCTCTTAAGGGATACAGCTGGGAGCAGGTTCCATGCTCTGAGCCATCAACCCCTTGCTCAGCTGAATACCCTCATGCACACTCTACCCGCCCCTGGAGGGAATGCTTGCTCTAATGTACACGTGCCACTCAGATCTGCTTCTCCTCTCTGCAACCTGAGTTGTAACCAGAGTGATTTTTTCTAAAACACAAAATCTGACCAGGTTTCTTTTACCAGCCTAACCTCCTCCTTCGGCTGGCTCCAGCCTGAACCACTTTGCAATCTCTGATGTAGTGTCTGATTCTCTCTTCACATTCTGTCACTCCAAATCCCACCCACCAAACTATGGCACTTGTAGCTCATCACAAACCACCCTCATCCTTTGCCTGACCTCCCCCACCCCAACTGTCTCCTAGTACTTATCTTAAATATCACCTCCTCCTGGAAGCTCCACTGCATCCTGAGCCCACCCCTAATGCAGCATTCATCATATAGTGCATGTTTGTCTGG